ACGGTCTACATGTCATCGGACCGCTTTCAGAAAACCACCGGGTACCGCTATTGAACTCACCCTTTGGAGCCGTTGCTGGTGCGATCGCACAGGTTTTCACAATCCCCGTCTCAGTCATTACAACCAGACAGCAAACACAGCCCAAAGGGGAGAAAAAGGGGTTATTTGATACGGGGAGGGAAGTCATTGACAGCGAGGACGGATGGAGTGGACTGTGGAGAGGCCTCAAAGCCAGCCTTGTCCTTGTGGTCAATCCCGCCATCACATACGGAACTTATCAGAGACTAAAGGACATCTTATTCTCTGGCAAGACTAGTCTGAAACCGTGGGAAGCTTTCCGTAAGTGAAATCCTCTCCTAATATATATATATAGATAGATAGATAGATAGATAGATAGATAGAAATATTCCGCCCATCTGAACATATTTACTGATGACAATGGACGGATAGTTTTGGGCGCCATGTCTAAGTCTCTCGCGACAATCGCAACCCAGCCATTGATCGTGGCTAAAGTCGGGTTACAGTCCCGACCACCAGCCATCCGACAAGGCAAACCATTCAAGACTTTTGGCGAGGTGATGAAATATATCATCGAACATGAGGGGCCACTAGCGTTGTTTAAAGGAATTGGTCCTCAAATATTGAAGGGTCTGCTGGTTCAAGGATTTTTGATGATGACAAAAGAGCGGTAAGGAATAAGCCTCGTCCCTACTTTTTTGACACCTTCAAATTGGAGGAAGGAGAGAAAGGCCGCGGATCTGCTAACCTTTCAAATTATGTAGGGTTGAACTGCTCTTCATTCTCCTCTTCACATACCTCCAGAAGCTCAAACAGTCCAGACTGAAGAAGTCTGTTGAGCAATCAGCGGAGAAGGTAGCCCAGAAGGCGAAGGCCTCTCTCCCCGTAACACTAAAATAGGCATGTTCATTTTATCCGTGGCGTTCATACATATATACCTAAATTAAATGTACAAAAATTCCCATCTTGTCCTTTTTCTGTGTGATACGTACATGTTTATTGATTTTTCTTCTTTCTTTTCGTTTTCATTTCATAGATGATGGTGGGCTTTTTGTGATATACAATGAAATGTAGCACATAGTGGGAAGCTTGTGTTGTGACGATTTCTTGCATATACATGTGACATTCTTTCAACTATGGAACTCATTTTGAAATTCGTTATTAA